CAGAGATGCGCACCCGGTGAGGTCCCTCTCTTTGCCTCTTTTCTTCCTACCGGTCTTTTCACATACGTTTCGACTTATCTTCCCATTTTCTTCCTCTTTCCTCTTTTCTTCCTCTCTCCTCTTTTTTTCTTTTCTTCCAATTTTCTTCCTATCTTCCTCTCTTCCAGTAAATGAGCTGCACGACAGAGATGCGCACCCGGTGAGGTCCCTCTCTTCGTACTTGCCTCTTTTCTGCCTACCGGTCTTTCTGTCAATCAAAACCGCCCATGCCACTCAAACCTCCATTCAAAAACCGGTGGCTCCTTAAAATACACGGCCTTGCAAAAAGAGAGTTTGATTGCCAGCTGCTGCCGGGGTGGGGAGCACAGATTCCCGGATCCCAGACTCGCCGCGCGGCCCTGTTGTCATGGCCTTGATATGGACGTGGTCCCCATGCAAGCCCACCGCACCATCCGTCCCAATAAACCAGGAACCTCCATTTCCTTCCTCTCCCTTCCTCTCCCTTCCTCTTCCTTCCTCTCCCTTCCTCTTCCTTCCCCCCCTCCCCTCTTCCTCCCTCCCTTTTCCGTCCCTCCCTTTTTGTCCCTCCCTTTTTTGTCCCTCCCTTTTCCTCCCTTCTCTTCTCCCTTTTTCCTCCTGTAAATTAGCTGCGCCCTGTACCCCCGCCGCGGCCTTCCCCCAGGGCCACTGCGCACCCCAGCCGCGCCAGGCCCCGCACACCAGGCCCCAGGCCCTAGGCCCTAGGCCCCAGGCCCAGGCGCACGCGCACCCACCACAGCCAGGCGCACCCACCACAGCCGTCCTACCCCATCGCCATGAGCCACCAATACGGCATCGTCATCGACTCCGGGTCGTCCGGCTCGCGCGTGCACGTCTACCGGTGGCCGGCCCCCGCAGCACAAAACACCGCCGCCACCGCCGCCCAGCAGGCCGCCGTGCGCCACGCGCCGCCCGCCGTCTCCCAGGACCCCGGCTGGACCATGAAGATCTCGCCCGGCGTGGCGTCGTTCGCCTCGCGCCCGCGCGCCGTGTGGAAGCTCCACTACCGGCAGCTCGTGCGCTTCGCCGAGGCCATCGTGCCGGCGGCGCAGCTCGCCACCACGCCCGTGTACATCCTCTCCACCGGCGGCATGCGGCTCTTGCCCGCCCGCCAGCGCCAGGCCATCCTCGCCGAGACCTGCCGCGCCGTGCAGCGGCACAGCCGGCTCCTCGTGGCCAGCTGCGCGGAGCACGTGCAGACCATCGACGGCGCCGCCGAGGGCGTGTACGGCTGGGTGGCGTTGAACCAGTTGCTGGGCGTGTTTGCGCGCGGCGCCGGCGCGCCGGAAACGGCCCGCTCCGTGGGCTTCTTGGACATGGGCGGCGCGTCCGCGCAGGTGGCGTTCGAGCCCGGCGCCGCGGCCCGGCGGCGCCACGCGGACGCGCTCGCCACGGTCACGCTCCGCCTGGTGGACGGGCACGCGCAGCAGTGGCGCGTGTTCGTGCAGACGTGGCTCGGCTTCGGCGCCAACGAGGGCCGCCGCCGGCACCTCCAGCAGCTCGTGTCGCTCGCGGCGGCGGCGGCGGGCGGCGCGCCGCCGGCCGTGGTGCCGGACCCGTGCATGCCCAAGGGCAGCGTGTTCCAGCTCCAGCCGGACGGCGCCCCCGAGCACACGGTCGAGGGCACGGGCGACTACGCCCAGTGCGCGCGGGCCGTGTACCCGTTGTTGATGAAGCACGTGCCGTGCGCCGCGCAGCCGTGCCTCTTCAACGGCGTGCACGGCCCGCGGATGGACTTTGCGGCGGCGCGCTTCGTGGGCGTGGCCGAGTACTGGTACACGGCGCACGACGTGCTCCACAGCGGCGGCGAGTACACGGCCGCGGGCTTCGTGGCGAAGACGCGCGCGTTCTGCGAGAGCCCGTGGGCCACGGTGCTCGACAACCAGCGCCGCGGTGTGTACGGGGACGTGTCTGCGGCGCAGCTCCAGGCCGCGTGCTTCAAGGCCGCGTGGGTGGCCAGCGTGCTCCACGAGGGCCTCGGGCTCCCGCGGCTGGGGGGGCTGCGGGGGATTGATGGTGCTGGGATTGATGGTGCTGGGATTGATGGTGCTGGGATTGATGGTGCTGGGATTGATGGGGCTGGGATTAATGGTGCTGGGATTGATGAGGCTGGGTTTGAGGGCGACGGGATTGATGGTGCCGGTTCTGATGGTGCCGGTTCCGAGGGCGAGGACAGCCTCCGGGATGGATCCGCCCCCCGGGATGAAAACGGCCTCCGGGATGAAAACGGTTCCGAGGGCGAGGACGGCCTCCGGGATGACGCCGCCCCCGGCCTGCCGCGCCACGTCCCCTTCATGTCCGCCAACGCCATCGACGGCATCGAGATTTCCTGGACGCTCGGCAAAATGTTGCTCGTGGCCGCCGCCCAGATCGAGCCCGCGGACGACGCGGTCGTGGGCGTGGTGCCCAGCACCATGGCGCTCCGCGCGCTCAGTGACTCCGACGACGACTCTGACGACGACCCCGCCGCGGTCTCCGTGCCCGGCCTCGTGCACGTGGCGCTCGCCGCCGCCGTCGTCTACTTCGTGTACCGCGTGCTCCGCAAAGCGCTAGCCTCGCAGCGCCGCCGCCTGGGCGGTGCCGACGCGGCCGTGCCCCGGGCGCTCCGCGGCGCTCTCGCCCACGCCCGCGGCTCGCTCCCGCGGTTCTGCGGGCCGCCGCTCGGGCGGGCACTCGACTTCTTTGAACGGCGCCGGCACGACGGCGCCTGCTCGGACCTCGAGGAGGGCCGCGGCGGCCGCGCCGTGTCGCCTCGCGCGACGGTGCTCCGCACACGGTCGACGGCCAGCTTCGGCGACGCCCTGCCGGGCGGCCTGCGCGGCGGCGAGTTCATGAGCAAGCCGTTCGCCAACCCCAAGAGCGCGGGGTTTGTCGGCGCGCCCCACGGCCCGCGCGACGTGCCTCTGAAGCTGCTGAGCTCGGGCTCGGTGGGCCGCCTCGGCCTGTAGGCGGCGCGCGGGGCGGATGGCCTGTCCGTGAAGGTGCGCAGTGGGGGGTGGAGGGGCATGGGGAGGAGGGCCGAGGCATCTCGAAGGGCGGTAAAAGGGTGGTCTGAGGGACAGATGAAGGAGAGAGGGGGGCAGTTGAACGACGGCGAAAGGTATTTGTCAGGGTAGCCCAAGAGCCTGTCCAAATTACGGTCTGAAGGACAGTCCAAAAGGTTGTCTTAGAGGGAGTCCATGAGGCAGTTTGAAAGGCAGAAGGCCGTGTGAAAGGCTGTCCAAAAGGTACTTCAAGAGACAGTCTAAAAGTCAGTCCGTGAGACAGTCTAGAAGACAGTCAAAAAGATGGTCCAAAAGGCAGTCCAAAAGACAGCCCAAGAGATCGTCCAAAAGGCAGTCCAAAAGGCAGTCCAAGAGATCGTCCAAAAGGCAGTCCAAAAGGCAGTCCAAAAACATTTCATTAAGTTGTCCTAAAGGCGCTCCCGGATCTACTGCAAAAGAATCCTAAAAAGACACCGGAGTATGCACCCAATGCTTGTGTGATGCACGGATATCGGAGTTACCTCCCAGAAGATGGCCGAAATTGTGGGCACCATCGTTATACCCCTTTGATGGCCTCATTGAAAGATACCCCTTTGATGGCCTCATTGAAAGGTTTAACGGCCCGCTCTATCGGCCTAATCGGTGGGATAGACCTACATACCCCGGTCAGGCTACAGGCACAAATCGTTTGCAAATGTTGCTCTAAATGGCGGCCAAGCACTCATCAACAGCCCCGTATCCTGGGGTCAGTCGATCGCCCCACATGACATGTTCCCAAATGGGAGCTGGAATTGCGCGTCTGCTGATGGTCGAAATGGTGTGCCCATGGAGCACCGGATCTTGTGCCCCATCTTTATCCCCCATCAAAACCCTTGTCCTCATGTCTAGTCCCATCAGTCCCTACATTGTCCCATCATTCGTCCCGTCCGATGTCCCTATCCCCGTTGGTCTCCCCATTATTCCAAGCGCCAGTATTTATTGGCCTTTCAATATGCGCGCGTTGCAGATGCAGATGCCGCAGAATCCTGGCGCCCTTTTGCAACCGGCGGCATTTTGCAACCGACGGCTGGTGTGCCCGACGAAACAGCGCCTACAATGTTGACTTACCCCTTGCTACAAAACTCCCTTTGCATTCTCGCCGTGACGCTGGCGCTTTGCGCGGGCGCCGTGGTGCCTCGGTCCAGTGCTGAAATCTTAGAGAGCCTGGCCATTGCCGACACCCTGGTCATTGTCGACCCCCTTGCTCATGTCTCAAATGTCGAAAGTCTCGAGCAGCTCGAGGGTCTGGAAGGCCTCGAGAACTTGGAATCCCTGGAAACCATCGCCAGCATTGCCAGCATCCAGCCCGGCGAAATAGCCGAGCCCGGCCCGGCACACGCGTATCAGTACATCAGCAGAATCCGCTCCAAGGTCGGCTCCTCGGGCGGCACCCGCCAAGACCGTCTCATCAACGAGTTTGGGAAGCCGGCCCGGTTGAACTCCGTGGCTGACCTCGCGCTGCAGGAGAATGCCGCTTCGGCCCGGGCCAGCGTCGAGCGTGACGCTATTCGAGGCAGTCTGCAAATCCCGTTGACACGCCTGACCAAGCCGCACGCTGTGAAGCTGACGGCAGGCCACGTCGGGTACGAGGAGCGGCACCGCTTCAGCGGCAATCCTTTCGACGAGCTTCTCCACGCGAAAAAAACCTACGAGGAGCCTGTTTCCAAGGGCCTGAGCAGCACCGTTGACGATGCGCCCGACGGCTCCGATGATGACGGCGACTACTACTCATATTCTGACGACGACGATGAAGCTGCCGACGACGGGAACAGTCCCGTGGACTGGGATTCCTCAGATGACATGGACGTGTCTTCCAGTGACCAGGGTTCTGCAGGCGACTCGGACGCTTTATTTATCAACCACGACACCCCAGATCTGAGTCCAACATCTGCAGAGAATCCACACTCCAGCAATACGGAAGAGGCCCAGGCCCGCGCCGTGTGGGCCGGGAGTGTCTCTGCCAGTAAGCATGAAAACGTGACCCACAGGAAGGCCCATATCGCCCCTCACGCACTGAACAAACATGACGTCCGCCAGGCCGAAGGCAGGGTGTCGATCCAGCAACTCCCCCCGACGGAAACCCGTCAACGCCGCGAGTCTTGGCCCATTGATACTGTCGCCACTTCGCACCGAGAACAGGGAACCACACTAGACAGCTAGCCACGCATACTTCCTACAAATCCTCTCTTTACGCCCACTGGGTAACTCTTTGTATATCGCTGTATTAGCAAGAAGTCACGCTTTACCGACCTGGGCCGTAGATTCGAGATGCTTCCGCGACTTGATGCTTCCTTTCCTTCCGCTAGCTCTCCGGGTATTTATCGCCAACGGTCCCTCTCAGGAGTCTACAAGTAAGATTAATTTTTAGGGTGTCACGCTCTTGAAAGAACGAAAGCTGCTTTGTTTGATTTTCTGCTTCCCATCTCTTAGATGTGAAAAAGGAGCGAGGGCGTATCTCGTTGTGTGCCAGTTTGGTTCTGACATCATGAAACTGTAGACTGTTGAAACCACCACTTGAAGTCTTGTGGCGATCAGGTTTCTCATACCATCTCGTTTTATGTTAGGTCCCTGGCATCAGCTTGACACTGAGGATCCCTGTAAGCGCATATATGATCATGCACCTCCATCATTGTGAGTTCTGTCATATCATTTTGAACAACTCATAGAATATTATCTCAGTTTCTAGAAGTATATATAGAAGAAGTATTTAAGGGTGAGATCTGACTCCCGTAGAATTTCGGAGAAGTGAATGATCAATCAGAGTTCGTAACCCGTATGTCCCGTGAAGTGCCCTAACAATAAGGACGTGAGTTTCTCATATCCAGAGGAAGTGAAAGAAATGGACAAAGTTAGGGGTGAACTCCCCAGCAGAGCATCCGGTGGCTTGTCCTGTGACAACTAGCCAGATAGGACCAAATTATATATACGAGTTAAGATATGAGAAAATCTCTCGGAGGAAACTGCTCCATGGAGATGACCTTGCATAGGATGACAGAGCTGTCTACCGAATGTGGTTATTTTTAGCTACCGCTAACCTCAATATATAATGCATATAATGCTATCACTCGGATAATTTGTTGAGTAGCCCTCAGGGATTGTTTTGAATTTGCAGTATAATTTATAGCATATATCACTAAGATTCACTAGTGTCTCTAAGTGATTTTGCAGTAACTGTAATCAAAAAAGAGCTGTACGCCTCCTTGGGTGGGTGAAAACTATTCCGCCTTCAGACTAGGCAAGTCCTGCATGTGTGGTTATCACGTGACAGGGTATCTCGTCTTGTTTGTATTTCTGCTTGAGTACAGGATATTCTAACTCAATGTCCTGTCCACAAGTGTTTCCCAACTGGTACAGTTGAGATATCGGATTCGACATGATGTACTAGCGTGTGGAAATAAACCTTTATTTAGGATAAACAAAACCACTGTTGTTCCGACTGATCTTCTAAAAAGATCTCTAGAGGGAATTCTCTTCCCTTTATATACTTGTCGCGCTATTTGGTTTCTGGTAAGTGGTGCGAACTTTAATGCCTCATTTGTCACATGATTAATTAGGTCTAAGCGTCTAGTTCTCACACGTCCGGGCTACTGCATCCTGTGCGAAGCCATCTCGATGGTACAGCTAATTTATGGGATAAAAGGTTCTTTCTTCTATTGTCTTTCCCCTCGTGGTGTTTTTTCATGTCTAGAACTATATATCTACTCCAATAGTTCCTCGATTAACATTAATGGAACAACTACTGAAGAGGAGTTTTTCTGAGATTCGGAGAACCTCTTCAAGACCAGGACTCTTCTGCTTCTCGGACACCTTACAAAACATAAAAGGCGGATAATATTCTATTCTTTTCTCCAGCGGACCTTGCCACCAGTTCTGTTTTAACTTTCACACTTCAGTTGAGTCCTTTTTCTTACAGAGGGACCATCTACAGTACTGTTATTGGTATGCATCCTGCGTATAATTTTAACGCTTGCCTTGTGCAAAGTAGACTTTAACAGATTTCAACATACTCTTGAACCATCTAATTTGCAGACTCGTTTGAAAAGCAGCGTTCAAATGAGTTTATGGTGGTTGGAATATCAACCTCCCTTATAAATAAGGCATTCGCAGGCTGCCCCTGTGAAAGAGTTGGTATGGATTTAGAGCTGGTGTCTACATTTTTTCCTCACGAGGGCAAGTTTATACAAGCCTTTTTCGCAACAATAGGTTTCTATACTTCCCACACTTCGCAAATTGAAGCCCAAACTTTTAGCCCATGCTTGAGCTCCTGCTACACGGCATAGTATGCTGTTATTGTTCTTTAAATATATCGACTCAGGACCTCCTTTACTCACGCAACTCTCGGACATGGGTGTATTTAACTTTACATATGTAACTGTTGTTGCAATTAATGAACTGCTTCTCGAATGAAATTTGAGATTCTTCTTTTTACTTTTTTTTATTTTCTTACTTGCCAGGCCGCTATATATCTGTTACCTTTTTGGGAAAAACACCTTAAAAAGTTGTGTTTCATGTGAAATATGTCGATTCTCAAGCAAGAATAAAATGCGAAGACCTGCACCGCTTATGCAATAATTTACCGTCTCGCCACGAGTTCGAAGCCTCTGAATTTACATGAGCTAATAATTATAGTGCCACGCCTTTGATGCATCAACAGTCCAGGTGTTATAAAAGCTAAAAATCTCCGCAAATGTTAAAATAATCAAACTCACCATGGATAACGGATTAAATAGTCAGCTTCTGATCATTGACGGAAAAATTACCGTCGATGGCGATGACAAGTTTCAGCTTTGTGGGGATATGCTGATTGGTTACAATATGCATTGTCAAGGGCAAAAAGACGTGTCACTCTATATCGTAGTCTTTTCATGATCAAGTCTTCATATGAAAGCATTTTTTCTATTTATGTATAAGATATTTGCTAAAATTATTTTTCGCTCGAAACTTGTAGGCTCTCGCGACTAAGCCAGGCCCAAAACTAAGCTTCTAATTGAACTATGAATACGGCAATTCTGCTATGTAAAGTTCCTGGTAGCAACTCAGGACTGACGGTCCCTGTGGGCGTACACAGATATATGTACGTTCATTTGTTCTTTCCGGTAAAGATGCTTTAATAAACACTTAAACTTCTTTCAAAGACTATGGACATAAGAAGGTAGGTGAAGCCGTTCATATAGCTTTAGATTTGTCAGAACGTATTGGAATATAGACACGCATATGTCCCACAAAGTCATCTACGCTCTGTTAGTAAAGTACATCAGGAACATAAACAAATGATTGTTACAATGAGCCTCATGATGTATACGAAATGATGTCTAGAGAACTTTCAAAGAGTGTGATTCAGTCTATCCCATGGAGTAAAACATATATAATCTTTTTATGGCAAGATGTCTCATTTTCTTTGTACAAGGTGGTATCTTTTTGGCTCAGTACAGTTACCAGAGCAAGTCCAACAATATTAGTACATACAAGATTTGCTTCAGGTTTGATTCTTTCTTCCAGCTTGCGCAAAACGTTTAAACCATACCCTTCAGTGCAGTTTTTTTATCTGGAAAAGTGAGTTTTGGCTGCAAAGCTTAGAGAAATGGGTATTTTGGTCATCAGGTTCAGACAATGCTTTAATCCGGTTTTCATAAGTCATTGAGAATATTCAAGCAAATTTTATACAAAGCTTCAAGACTGAAGATGGGTTGACATCCCAGCTGAGCACTCACTTAAGCCAGCATCTTCTTTTATAATGATTCATCTAATTTTGTCTTCTCTCTTTACTGAACTGGCTTTGATTAATTTTTTTTTCGAATTAAAAGAACACAGTGTTAAAATTTGAATTCCTTGGCTTCACACGGTATATCTTTGGGCAGTAAACGTTGATATCTAATGATAGATATATTTAAAGCTAATTTTTGAGAGTTTATGGATTGGCACAGACTTCTTTTTGCGAATGCAAAAAAAAAACATGCCATCTTTTGAAAAATATCATGATATATGTGGAAATTCTGGTTAAGAAAGCTCTTGGAAACTACACATGTCTTGGGCCCTGACTCAAAGCCAAGTACTGAGGCCCCTGAGCCTTTTTTGAGCAAGTTTCTCATTTTCGTTCAGTTTGATACATCATCTTTTTCCATACACCTATACTTGTTATAGCTGACTCAAAGATCTTCAAATTACAAGAGCCTGGGTATGTTACAAAGATGAATATCATTACTCGAAAGGCTTCTCGATTTTAACATCAGGAAAAAATGGCGTGGTCGAGGCTCATTGGATATATATACACTTAGTGCCCCTCTTGACACGTCTTTTATATTTGATATAGCTCCATTCAGCTAGAAGCAAAGACACGGGAAGCGAAGCAACATTATACGCTTTAGGAACATAAATTTTCTGCTCTTGGAGGCATTCATAATCTTCTGTTCCCCTCGAGAGCAATAGAGATTCAGCCCCAATCTATACAATACCGTAGATGTCATGAAGAGCTCATCCTGCACTGATTATATCATTGTGAATAATCCGGGACGCCAAGATCCCATAAAAACCATGCTCAAAGAACGCCACAGTTACTGATCCTTTAAAGTATTCCAAACTTTTCTGAAAAAAATCACGAGCAACACATTCATAACATCTTGACAATTTGGACGTCACCGAATGACGGAGAGGTCATCAATTGAAGAACGTTGATGCCGTGCTATCTACATAGGTGAAAGGAACTCCCAGTACGCCAGCAAAAATTTATCAACCCATCCCAGATTTCACATGTTTTTTAGGTCTAATATGGCTTCATGTATTGACCTTGTTATCTTTGAGGCTTCACAAAGTGATTTCAGGGCTTCAGGAAATCATGCGGGAAACTGGGGCTCGATAAGCAGCGTTTCAACTGTTGTTTGCGTTTGAAAATTCTTTTGCTAATCGCTTTGGTAATACTGTTTTTGCTCGATTACACCAGGTGTAATGAGCAAATTGACTTCATATTCTGTACAATTGCTAAAACTTGAATCAGCATTACTAGGGTATCTCTATTGCAAGCAATAATTAGCACCATGATTTTGAGGCTAAACTGATTTTAGTCACATTTAAAGCTGCAGCTCCTAGGATGTTTAAGTCTATAAGACTATACATTGAGTCAAGCTGCTTTGATTCTTTACCTTCATTCCACTCGTACGATTCGGGAAAAGTGCGCCCACATCTAGCAACTTAAGTAGGTTCAAGAAAGCATCTTTGAAAAATCCAATAGTGTAATTGAAATGAACGGTTACTTATATTTCAAGAAAATAGCAAGTTCGGATGATGCTGGCATGAAAACTGTGCGTGGTACCATGAGGGAGTTTGAGATTTGAGTATGAGAATACTTGGTTGTGATAGGACTGACAACGCAGCTGCTTAATATTTCCCAAAGAAAGCCTATGGAGATTAAGAAAGCATTCGCCCATTTTGTTTTCATCAGATCTACATTCACTATAGTTCCTCAACCGAAGATATATGAAATGGCTACGCGTAATGACTTTTACCATACGAGATGGGAGAAGAGGGGTAAATCCATGTCTTCTTTATTGGATCAATGAAGTCAAAAACTTTCATTTTCATTGTGTTCCAAAATCTTATGTCATAAGTACTTCAGAAGCCTCGACACACCAATGAGTTCTAAAAAGCACGACTATCTAGTAAATTTTCAGACAAACCAACGTACATCAGACATTGACGCTTTATTCCCGATGCAATGAATAAGCCCTGGACTTCTAGTATCAGTTCAGATTGCCTAAAACTCATATAATTCCTTTTAAACCGGATGTCTAATTAACACCATGAAACCACTTCGCGTGACGCTAGAGTAAACTCTTGCGGCCCCAAACAACTCATGAGCTAATCATTGAACTATATTTCCATTATCATCTCGTTATAATGTAATTGAGTAACCAGCTCTGACTGGTATTTAAAGTAAACCACACATTAAATTAAACTTAAATTTTGACGGGACTTCAAGCAATTAATCCCCAGGTAGTTTTCAAATATTTGATGAGCTTTAGAAAGAGTCCAAATAATCCTTCTCAATATATTCACTCTTTTATCTTGATAAGTTGCATTTGAAGATTAATGTTTCGCCATATAATCTCAAATAAGGTTACTCTGCTCCCTTTGATGTGGGTATTTGTGGATTTCATGGAATGGTTCAACCTTTGCGGTCACAGGTTACACACTTGTTTAGTATGCTCATATGTTGAGAAATTTAATTTAGGTACACAGTAAATCGCTCCCTGATCTTAATATTCTGTGATCTTTGGTCGAATAGTTTTGATCAAGAGCACATCATGCTATTTCACATGGGGGGATTTGAGTCACGATAGCCGAAAGTATGCTTTAATCCTTATTGAGCAGACGAACAAAGCCAGATTATATTATAAAACGGTAGAGCCAGCATACTTATGAGTAAAATTTCTGCTCTTCTTTGATGCTATAAATTAGGAGAAAGCATTATCTCTGGAAACAAAACCACGACAAGGAACTCTGCACACATTTATGGGCTTGATATCACATGCGGCTGATGCTTGATACATGTCATCTTATATTGTGACAGCTGTCCGCTGCTGGAGATGTGGATATGGCCTAATTCTACTGGAAAAAGTCGAGTATCCCTTTTAATGTAAATCCCCAAATTCTCGTACAGTCTTGCTACCGAATTTTCCAGAAACCTGAGTTTTTTAACTTCAATAAGTTAAAAGTAAAGAAGAGCATGTGCACCGGGTCCCAATATTGAAAGATGTTCTAAGCGAGACTCTGAAAACGAAGTGGCCTGGAATACTTGGGAGGGATTTAAACATGTTTTCTGAACAAAGTTTGATTGTTTGATGACTACTCAGACACAACATTGGGGAGTTTGAGCAGCATCAGAATGAGATGCATAATTGATACCAATGCCACGAATGCTTATCCAATGTATAAGTTAATTTCAGGATAATTTCGGAAATGCGTTTTGTCAATTAGCGCTGATAATATCCAGAAATCACTTTTTGAGATTACCATGAATCAAATCCAAGAAAAAGTAACTTAAACAGCCTCTCGAATCCTTTTTCCAAGAATTCTTCAGGGGTTTGAAGGTGGATCGAAGACCATACTTCCCAAGGTCGGCTTTTGAATAAACCCTCTGAATAAGTCTGCTTCTTTGGTTTCACGAAAAGACCCCCAGAATCCATGTTCAGCCCCTTCACATTTCCATCTTTTAGGAATACCTCTAAGACCAGCTTCTCGGGATTTCCTCTCGGGAATCGTTTTTAACAACCTCCCAAAGACTTAAATATTGACTCCAAGATTCCTATAGCGAGTTTCTGCAAGTAGAACTACGTCCAAACTGAAATCCTTCTGAATTGCCCTAACTGTTTTTCCGAAGCCTGCAAAGCCGAACAGAAGCGAAGTTGACTCCTGATCGAAAGTTCCACTTCATTCTGATATCTGCAGACTCCAATTCAAGAAAACTTTCGCACGCTTCAGACACACCACGGTCTCCCCCATGGTAACATGGCCATATGGGCGAATGATTTGAATTTCTTCAAATAAGAAGACCCTTGTATGCCTTTAGATAAGGATTTACTTAAATGAACCGATCTTTGTCTAGTTTTCTGAGCCTGGTGTTAGGCCCTAATCCTAATAATTGGAACCTATCTTCCCATTTCATGGGTTATATTGTATAAAAGTAATTATCGCAATCAGAGGGGATATAATTCTTTCTTGAGGGACCCCAGGATCTGTTCTTCAATACCAGTTCCAATGAAACCAGCCCTTAACAATTTTTTCTAACAGAGACATTCTGTATAACTCAGTCGTAAAAGAGGGATATCAATAAATAGTTCAAAATCTGTATCCCCCCCCCCTTGGCTTGTTCTAATTCAGCCCTTGATCTTGCAATCTCTTTGAAATCTCGAGGATGGCGTTCTATGAAAGCTCTCTGAAATCCAGTCATCACTCTAAAGAAAAGGTCTCGAAGATTCAGGCAATTCTCTTTTATAAAAGCTTCTGATTCTCCGGAATCACTCTCATAAAAACTTCTGAAAGCCCGGGGATGGCCCCCAGGAAACCGCTGGGAAAAACCGAGCTTCGTGCTCACAGAATCACACACACTCAAAAGGCCCTGATAGGGCGGGTCGTCATGGCGTTTAGAAAATTTTCACTTGGCCTTCAGATGCTCTCCAGGCAGATGGCAATCACGTCAATCAATTGCACCCAACGAGCGCTCCAACCCACCGCCGCGTCACTGGACCACCAAACCAACAGCCACCAAACAGCCACCAAACAGCCACCAAACAGCCCTGAAACAGCCCTGAAACAGCCCTGAAACAGCCCTGAAATATCCCTGAAATATCCCTGAAATATCCCTGAAATATCCCTGAAATATCCCTGAAACAGCCGCCCAAAACCCCGGTACCCTCCCATGGCCCCAATCAACCAGGGCGCTCCGAACGGTTCCGGCCTGCACACAGCGCGCCGATGGCCATCGCGCCAACCGCGCGAATCGAAAAAAAGGCCCAACCCCAGCTTCTTCTAAACTCCGGCAAACCACAAAAATAAACGCCCCTTTTCTCCCCCAGTTTCGCCATGAGAGTCAAGGCACCCACGTCCAAGCGCTCCACCACGCGCATGCGTGAAGGCATTAAGAAGAAGGCCGCGGCCCAGCGCAAGAAAAACAAGAAGTTGGCCAAGAAGGACGTGACCTGGAAGTCCCGTGCCAACAAGGACCCCGGCATTCCCGCCAGCTTCCCCTACAAGGAGCAAATCATTCAGGAGTTGGAGCACAGCCGCCAGCTCGAGGTACAAAAGCGCGAGGAGGCACGGATCCAGAAACAGCAGGAGCGCGAGCAGGCCGTGGCCGCAGGCACCGGTGCGTTTGTGGCCGCAGCCAGCGACGCCGAGGGGGCGGACGATGCAGCCGCCAGCGGCTCCTTGGCCGCGTTGATGGACCTGGCGCAGCAGGCCGCACGTGACTACGCGGCCGGCGGTGCCGCGGACGACGACGCCATGGCCGGCCTGGACCTGGACGTCGAGTACCAGTTGAGCGACGCGGAAATCGACCGGCTGGACGTGGAGCGGTCGCGCAAGGCGTACGACAAGATCTTCCGCGCGGTGGTGGACGCGGCGGACGTGGTGCTCTACGTGTTGGACGCGCGGGACCCCGTGTCCACGCGGTCGAGGGCCGTGGAGCAGGCCGTGCTCCAGGCCGGCGGCAAGCGGCTCATTCTCGTGTTGAACAAGGTGGACTTGGTGCCTGCGCACGTGTTGGCGCAGTGGCTCGACTTCTTGAAGGCGCTGTTCCCCACGGTGCCGGTCAAGGCGTCGCCCGGCGCCGCGGGCCTGAGTCTCTACAACCGCAACCTCTCCAGCACGGGAACGGCCGGTGCGTTGATGCACGCGTTGAAGCTGTACGCGGCCAAGCTGAATTTGAAGCGGCTGATTGTGGTGGGTGTGATTGGCTACCCGAACGTGGGCAAGCTGTCGATCATCAACGCGTTGACCAGCCGCCACGGGCAGCAGAAGGCGTGCCCCGTGGGCAACATGGCGGGCGTGACCACGGCCATGCGCGAGGTCAAGGTGGACAACAAGCTCAAGATCTTGGACTCGCCCGGCATTGTGTTTCCGGACGAGGTGGCGGGCAAGCGCCGCGTGGCCGACGCCCGCTTGGCGCTCTTGTCGGCCGTGCTGCCCAAGAGCATCTCGGACCCGGTGGCCGTGGTGGAGCACTTGCTCCGGCGCTTGTCGAAGGACCCGGCCATGGCGGACGCGGCCAAGCTGCACTACCACATCCCGGCGTTGCCGTCGCAGGACTTGGCCGACTTCACGCGCCAGTTCTTGATCCACGTGGCGCGGGCCCGCGGCCGCTTGTCGCGCGGCGGCATCCCCAACTTGGACGCCGCGGCGCACACCGTGCTCAACGACTGGCGCGACGGCCGCATCACGGGCTGGGTGTTGCCGAACGCGTCGCGTGCCGAGGCCGCGGAGCCGGCCCACGCGCCCAAGAGTGCTTTGCGTGGCGACAAGGAGCCGCCCAAGGTCGAGCAGACCACGGTGGTGGCCCAGTGGGCGAAGGAGTTTGATTTGGACGGCTTGTTGGGCGACAACTTCGGCCTTGCGGCCTAGCCGGCGAGTGTATTAGGACGCGTATAGTAAGGTTTTGATTTAGCGCGGCGGGCGTAGGCAGGCTGGGTGACGGTGGCGTGAATTTGGCTTGTTGCTTGGGCATGGCCGCTGGTGCAGCTGGTTCTGGCGGCGGGAATGATCTTAGATCGTGTTCTTTAGTTTTGAGAAGTACGGGAACATCTGTCCGTGGTGACTTGGTGCTGTCTTCGTGCTGTCTTCAATATGTGATGCGATGCTTCAATGGTATATCACTTTCCGCGTGGAGTGATGGAAAAGCATGTTTCATGAGAGGGTCTGATCTTTGCATGGACTGTCTCTGGATCTTGAGTTTGCCGGACTGGGCTGGGTGATTGATGCGGTTTGGTTTTGTTGCTGTCGCGTCTCGATTGCTGAAGGTCCGAGATTCGGGACATTGGGCTGGATCATGTTTCGGTGTCTGGGCCGGGTGTTTCCTCAGTTTGGATCGCTGATGTCTGGGAATTCAAACCGGTGATTACTGAGTTCAAGATCGCTAATGTCCGGGAGTTGGGGCCAGTCAAACCGCTACTCATCCACGCCCTGCAGAACGAAGTGTGCCATTCGACAACCATTCATCATTTTCAACCTAAATGAAATCATGTCTTGGAACCAAGTCTTTATGAGTCCAAAGGGAATAGAACATATGTGGCTGATGATCTTGTAAATCCTTCACAACACAGGCTCGAAGAGAAGAATGTCGATTAATGAAAAAGCGGACAATACCCATACTTCCCGTGCTTAAAAGTCTTTTGCACCCTCTTTTCTGAGCAAAAAGGACAAAGACCTTTCCGAAGAACTTTTGACGGATCCTCGTTGCGGAAACACTTCTTCTTTAGTATTTGAGCAAAATGCTGAAAGCTGATGATCCGATGTTTGGGCCTGTCAGTTACTCAATCTTGGTTCGCTAATCTCCGGGGGTCCCACAGCATTTCGCTTGATGTGAAAGCACCTGGTGGTCGGTGGTTCTTCCGAGTATGGTCTGCTGTGGCGTGTGGGCTACTTTCATGGCTTGTGCCCGGACCCGAGTTTTCTTGCATAAGAATATGATCTGCAACTAGTGGCGCAGTCTACTGTGAAAGTGATGGTCATTTGGGGCCGTACTAGGCTCGGTTCAACCAGTAGGTGGAGGGTACAAATTCATTAATATTGTTTCGATTTATGCAAGACACCCATGCTTTTACAAGAGTGGGTGCATCTTCATGGTGCTCAAAATACACGTACCACCTCAAAAAATCTTTTGTTTGGTCAAACAGATGTTTGGGGAATTACAAGGAAACCATTCTAGACTTATGCAACAGCCAAGTTCCTTGAAGGAAAGCATCTTCTCAGGAGAGATGACATTCTCAAGAGAGACATTTTTTGGGAAGAAAAAAAATTCTTTTGGTACTCTCGAGACGCAGTATTCTCGAAAGAATTGGTCTTCTCACATGAGGTGATATTCTCGAAAAAAATTACTCTCGAGAGGTAACAATCTCCAAAGAAGTAGTATTCTCATATGAGGTAGCATTCTCGAAAGTGTCATCGGCTAATCAGACTCTAATAAAAAATCACTCCATTGCTTCGCTTCATCACCATAACTAAACAGCTGCTACTGCAACTATAAGTCCCATCACTTTCATGGTACTGGTGCTTTGCACGCCATATCCTTTTGTCTATGATCAATTCGTGTCGCAGGCCTCCCCTCTATACTTCGCCCAGATGATGGCATGACGAATGTCTAGAATCTGAATCTTTGTACAATACCTTGGAGAGAAGTGTTTGGAGAACGGCTTCACAGAAGTACAATCTAAAACGGATCCTTTCACAATGTCACACTAGAGTCAAGGTCAACAGGGTCTTCTTTCCCCGCCAATTTTGCCAAGCCCCTTGGCTGTCGTTTCGCTAGATATTAGATGAGGACAGCGGAAATTTCGTTAATCCATTCATGCGCGTCACTAGCTAGATGACGAGGTATTTGACTACCTTAAGAGAGTCATAAATACCCCCGGCGTTTTCACGCGCATGGTTGAATTTCCTTTGACATTCAGAGCACTGGGCAGAAATCAAAACACCTTCGAAAAACATGTAGCAATTCAGAAAGCAACAGTAGAAAAATCCGACTCGTTGCTGTCAAACAACACCACAAAAACTTTCTGATATCTACCGCTTCCTGTTGTGAAGGAATATACGCGAGGGCCCAATTTGCACCCACCCTGGTTTTTTGCGTGATGGGGTAAACAGATGGTGACCGAAGCTGTATAAGCACATAGCGCACAGCTTTTCAACAAAAAAAAAACTCAGGCACTTTTTCCTATATCGTTTCAGATTTCCAAACGAGGTGTTTTGTCCTGCTCTTTCCTGGCCACTGGACGTTTGTATAAAAGCAAAGGCGTTGTATCAAAAGACCACAAAATGTACTGCATTGTGTAAAGAAGCAGCATCAGAAGACCAGAAGCACCGGTTGAAGCTCAGAAAAATACTATCTGAATAATTTTTTTTTTTTTCTTTTGTCCTTGGTAAAGATCTCTTATCTAAATTCAATGCTTCAACTCGCCTAAATTGATTTCATAAACAAAGAAAAAAAATTCTAAATCAAAGGGTAAGAAAAAAGCACCATAGAAGCACCAGTTATATGAATCTTAAGAACATAATGCTCAATTCAATTTCAATTTTTGTACTTAATAAAGATCTTTCATCTGAAACTAATAACCAAAAATAATTCCATGAGAAAAGGAAGAAAATTCTAAATTGAAGGAATCATAGAGACTGATATAAATGAACACTAAGAGCAGATTTAGACTGTTGATATGAAGCAAAGCCACATTCAAAGGAAGCATTTTTCAATATAAGAATGACTAGTTGAGATTGATGTAACAAAATTAGTACACCCAACTATAGGAGCTGAATACATACATAATGTAAATATTATACTGTAATTAAGTATAGTACTTCCGCATTATTGATATGCGGAGTCATTTTAATCCCAGTGAATTCATTAGAAACACCATCAGAAGCTTTCACGTGATAACCTGGAGACTGTGCATTGCATAGCCTGGATATTTGGGATAATTTGGGGTCTGAGGAACGCCCAAGTTTGAGAGCTTTGACTAATACTCGGCTCTGAGCAATCATGGGTGTTGACAGCGGTCTCCCACAAATGAGAAGCTTTGAACATGGAGTGCCCAATGCCCAGGATATCATACAGAACCCCCACTTTGCCTTCATACTTGCTAGTTGTACTAGTTGTTGCTTAAAATCCTCTTAAGCCAGACGGCAGACACTATTCCATAAAAAAGAGAGCACTGTTATCATCTTAAAAGCTGTGTCTCGGTATTTCGTATACCCTATAATAACTGCTCGCTATCAGACTTCCATAGCACAAGGGGTCCCAAACACGTGCAATCAAATGACGAAACACGAAGAACCATACAGGCGTAGAAGGGGGCTTTCTCGAAAACAAGCACAGCTCCGTTATTTTCCTACATCTGGAACTCCGCTGGCAATTCTACATCATCGTGCTAGCCATTGACCAGACACCCCAATTGCGCTCGAGATGATCCAGCTTCTGGCCAGACTGTTAAGGTTGTATAGTTATGGTAAACTCGAGACATAGCCCGACCTTTTTCGAGACTTTAGAGCGCTGCTAGCCAAGAAGGCCCTTGGCCGAAGAGCCCGCCTATGTTCTTGAAAACTTGTTTCCCTTGAGAAATCGGCGCTTGACTCTTGCAAGAAACAGGCTCACAGGCTGAAAACCTTGGTCCTTTGAGTGCGTGTGCCTTCGTTGTGGATGCTCAGATTCTGTTGGCACGGCGAAATCACCAAACAGAATAACAAAACAGCTATTTGCTTGCATTGGAAATATTAGCATATACTGTCTATGTCTATAGGTGCAAACCACTCCGGCCATGTCCTGACATGAGTGCTCGACATACTAAATCTTGCCACTTCCAGATATGTCAACAACAGATGAACATGGGTTAGTCGATCCTAACCTCTAAGTTAAACCTGAATTAACACCTCTATTTTTCAGAGGGTCGAGGGAAAGGAAATCTGGTTAATATTCCAAAACTTGGATATGGAGTTTTTCGGTAACGTAACTGAATGTGGAGACGTCGGCGTGGGCCCTACAAGAAGTTTTCTCTTTCTTCTACCAGCTTATGACCCTGGATGGAGTTACCAGAGATGGGGTTTTATGGCTGAAAGAGAAATTGTTTATTGATCGTCCGGTGCGCCTACGACGGTCCTTGAAAATCCACAGGAAGGATTTACTTTCATGCCAAGTCGTACTGATATCCGCAGCAGGTCTCCAAGGTTAACAGCCTCTAGTTGATAGAACAATGTAGATAAGGGAAGTCGGCAAAATAGATCCGTAACTTCGGGATAAGGATTGGCTCTAAGGGTTGGAGGATTCAGGGTGTGAGGCTAAACCTTGCCAATACCAGATGCCTAAACCTTGCCAATTCCAGATAAACTCAGTCTTGTCACTTCCAGACACACTAAACCTTGCCACTAAGAGATTCACGAAACCTTGCCTCTACCAAATACACTAACCTTGCCACTACCAAGCACACTAACCTTACTACTACCAAACACACTAACCTTGCCACTTCCAAATACACCAAACCTTGCAATTCCAGATACACTAACCTTGCCACTTCCAGATGTACTAAACCTTGCCACTACCAGATAAACTAAACCTTGCCACTACCAGATAAACTAAACCTTGCCCACTTTAAGATACACTAAACCTTGCCAGTTCCAGATGCCCTGAACCCTGCCAGTTCCAGATTTACTAAACCCTGCCAGTTCCAAATACCTCAAACATTGTCACTTCCAAATCCACTAACCCTCCCAATTCCAGACATACTAAATCTTGCCACTACCAAATACACCAAACCCTGCCAATTCCAGATACACTAACCTTGCAATTCCGAATACACCAACCTTGTCACTTCCAAATCCACTAACCTTGCCAATTCCAGACATACTAAATCTTGCCACTACCAGATACACTAAATCTTGCCACTACCAAATATACCAAACCCTGCCAATT